TATGCTCATACATGGAATAATAAAATCGAGTTCAATCATCACATACAAAAGAATAAAATGTCCTCCTGATCCTGCCTTTGCCATCTATAAGCTCTGAGAGGTCACCTAGTCTCTTCATCCCACAATCCCATGCTGAGCGAAGAAGGGTGGCTTCTCTGAACGGGGCCTTATCCACCAGGATGACGGGGGCCAAACCCAGGACTGGGCCAACCAGAGATGCTCTGGACAATGAAGAGAAAATCGCTGTTTAAAAGGAGAATTCTTTGGGATCCTTATGAACCCAGATCCCTAAGTAACACTGCTGTCCTAGCTGTCGAGCAGGGGTATTGCCCAACCACTTGGGCAATAGGTCACCTAGGTTCCTTCGTCCTGGTCACATGGCAGAACCAGCTGGTCTGTCTTAACCACCTTCAGCCAGGTTATGACACTCTTTAACAGGTGAGGAGGGAGAAAAATTGGAATCCTCACACACTTCGCAATTGGGGATGTAAACTGATACAACCACTTGGGAAACAGTTTTGCAGGTTCTCAAAAGGTTAAATACAGTTACCGTGTGACCCAGCAATTCCACTCCTAGGCATATATTATGGAGGAATTTAGAAATATGTCCACACATGAATTTATGCATGAATGTTCATAGCATTTTTTATATTAGTCACAAAGTGAAAACAACCCAAAAGTCCATCAGCAGAGGAATAGATAAACAAAATATGGTCTATCCCCATAAGGGAATGTTATTTGGCAATAAAAAGAATGAAGTCCTGATACATGTAAGAACACGGATGAGCCTTGACAACATGAGGCTCAGTGAGAGAAGCCAGTCACGAAGAACCACATGTGGTGTGATTCCATTGCTGTGAAATGTCCAGAACAGGCAGGTCCCCAGAAGCAGAGCGGACCAATGGTTGCCTAGGGCTAGGGTGGCGGTGGGTGGGTAGAGGGATTGGAAATGATGGCTGAGCGGTGCAGGGTTTCTCTTATGGGCATGACAATATTCTAAAATCAGTGGGGGGGGGGGGGGGCTGGGCAGCCCTGCGAATATTCTAACAGCCATTGAAATGTATGCTTTAAATAGGTAAATCGTATGATATGTGAACTATATATCAAAAAAGATATTTTTAAAAAGAAAGAACAAATACAATTTTAAAGTCCACTTAGCTTTGCCAGCAGAGCATGTGGTCAAAATTTGGGGGTTTTGCCACACTGATGGGTGAGAAATAATACCACCTTGCAGTTTCAATTCACATTTCTCTTTATGGGAGCGGTTCAGCATCTGGCCAATTAAAATTCCAATAATATTGGTTTCTTTTTGTTGTACACTAAACTCCCATTTATGTTTTAGCCTGTTGTGTATTTTCTGGACTTTCCAGTCTGTTGTATACGTGTGCCTACACGGGCTAGCCCTGCTCTTTCGTTCGGTAATTCTTCACGATGAGACAGACAGGGGAATACTCAGCGGAGTCGAGCTGGCCGCCCCGTCAAACACCCTCCCCCCCAAACCCAGCCACTGCCCCAAACTGTCACCTTCCCAGAAAAGCTGTGGCATGTTTCAAGCACAGAGAAACACTGTACCTTTGTTGCCAAAACAGTTAATAAGAATGCCATGAAATGTGATAAAGAAGGAACTGAAAAAGGCCGAGATTTAAAAGGTCAATCAGAAGGGCTCACAAAGTCGCCAGAATACACACTGGAGACGCAGACCATCAGAAAAGTCACGCAATGAATTCCTTGACGCTAGGCCTTGGCAGCGGGGGGTGCGATGGCAGCCGCCGCGGTCCCGGTGACGAAAGGCAAGTCTGTGGCGGGTTTAGTCAGATCGATGGATGCTGCACTGAGGGGTGCGAACCTGGACCAAAGATTTCCGCCTCGAAGGGCAAATTCAAACACCAGTTTGAAACACTTGATATTCACACGCAAGAGGTGGAAGACACAATGCAGACAAGACCCTAACACTGCCACAAAAGCCACAGGATATGCTGCTTCAAGAGACGACAGATGCACTGGCCTTGACCTCAGTATGGGGCCACCACAGGGTCAGACTGGCATTGTCAGCACTGGAACAGGATGGGCTGTCAGAGACGGTGCCCGTCTTCGAAACCCCGCATAACGTAGGGAACTGGTGTTCCTGAAACCTCGCTGCACGTCTGGAAGTGCAGCCGAAGCACAGGTAAAGTGCTTACCTGTCCCCAGCGCTTTCCCTGGGCCTGCAGTGCTTTCCAAATGCATGGGAAATTCCAGAAAGTTTCTACCTTTCACATTTTACAATTCTATGGAGTACGTGTGTAGGTGTGAGGGACATATATTTGTCCCTGAATTTGCTTGTTGTAAATGAAATATCTCCTCCAAACTTAGATCAAAGCTCTAGTTCTAAAGTACTATGTTAATCTACTTAGGATAAAGGTTTTTATTCTAAGTGGTTTATCTCTGTACCCACTGACTTGTGTTGTATAAAAATAAAGGCTGGGAAGAGCACACTTAATATATTTACACAGCCAAACACATTTCTTTTAGCATATATAATAGACAATGGCTTTTTTGGGTGCTTTTTATTTTGCTATCTAAGTAGAGATGCAATTGGTTTTTAATCTGTGGTCATCCTTTTTTAATATTGGAATTGTTAACCAGTAGCATAATGACTACTGTCTGGATTCCTTAAATTAAAGAATAGTTTTGTGTGTGCGATCACTTTATGTAACTAGGGAAACTCAGCAACATCACATTAAAAAATAAAAATGAGCCCTGGCTGGTGTAGCTCAGTGGATTGAGCGCAGGCCTGCGAACCAGACAATCGCAGTTCAATTCCCAGTCAGGGCACATGCCTGGGTTGCAGGCTGCTTCCCTGCAGGCCAGTTCCCAGCAGGGGACACACGAAAGGCAACCATACATTGATGTTTCTCTCCCTCTCTCCTTCCCTTCCCCTCTAAAGATAAAGAAATAAAATCTTAAAAAAATAAAATAAAATAAAAATGAGCAAACCTTAGTTTCTCTACTTATTAACTATCAGTTTTATTATAGACTCCCAGAAAGATTTATTCTGCTGTACCTACAAGATCTCAAACACACGGCAAATGCTTCACCTTCTCACTGATTGTCATTAGGCTACATTTTTAAAGGAGGTTCATTTGTGGCATTTATATCTATTAACAGTTCCACAGATCTGTTGATTTCAGAAAAACCTTGATCCTTGTATGCAAACCAATCAACAAATAATAACAAAGAATATAAAATCGAACCCAGTCAAGTTAGAACAACTGTTTAAGTCCTGACTAAATCATTCCTTTATCTTACAGCAATAACTTTTTTTTAAAAGATTTTATTAATTTATCTTTAGAGGGGAAGGGAAGGAGAGAGGGAGAGAAATATCAACGTATGGTTGCCTCTCATGTGTCCCCTGCCAGGAACTGGCTTGCAACCCAGGCATGTGCCCTGAGTGGGAATCGAACCGCGACCCTTTGGTTCACAGGCCCGTGCTCAATCCACTGAGCTACACCATCCAGGGGGAGCAAATATGTTTTTGAAAAGCTTTATGATGTTTTTACAGCTGCCAACCCTAGGATCTCTTGTCCCCTTCCTCTCCACTACTCTTCCTTTCTTTCTGGTGTTTTGCTGCCTATTCTTGCTTATTTATTTCTCCATATAAATTTTAGAATCAGTATGTCTGGTTCCAGGAACAATAACAAACAAACCTGTGTTTATATTGAGACAACTTTTAATTTCTAAATCAATTTAGGGGAAACTGACAACTTTATGAAGCTGAGTCCTCCCATCCAATTATGTGGTGGGTCATTCTGTTTGTTCAAGTCCACATTTGTGTCCTTCCGGAGTATTTTATTTTATTATTATTATTTTTTAAAGATTTTATTCAATTATCTCTATGGGAGAAGGAAAGGAGAGAAGGAGAGAAATATCAATGGTTGCCTCTCGTGTGTTCCCCGCTGGGAGTTAGCTCACAAGCCAGGCATGTGCCCTGACTGGGAATCGATCCCTTAGTTCGCAGACCTGTGCTCAATTCACTGAGCTACACCAGCCAGGGCTTCTGTTTATTTATTGATTGATTGATTTTTAACTTATTTTAATTGCTGTTAAACAGACCACCCTCCCCCCTTTGGGAGTATTTTGAAGTTTTCACCTAAATTTTGCATATGTCATGTTCAGGTTACTAGGTATTTTTATCCTTTTTTGTTGTCTCATCCATTATTTCTTCTAACCATTTGTAGCTATGTGTGAAGACTATCTGAGTGCTGGCTGGTTGGGTAGAGCAGCCCTACACCAAAAAACTGGGGGTTTGATTCCCGGTCAGGGCATATCCCTGGTTTGAGGGTTCGATCCCTGGTTGGGGGGGTGTCAGGGCAGCTGGTCAATGTTTCTCTCTCACATCATTCTGTCTCTCCTCCTTTCTAAAATCAACAAACATTTTAAAAATATTTTAAGACTACTTGATTTCCGAACCTTAATTTTTTTGTCCTATATTTTCAACTTTTGCGTATGTGTTTACAGTCGTTCATAATCACACAATGTTCGGAGAAAGGGTGGACAGAGAGAAATCAAAAGCTGTAGACAAAGAGACTTGCTGCAAAGAGGAGCCAAAATATGAGCGTCAGTGAGCATGAGAGATGAAGTCAAGGGTTTTTGTTTGGTTGTAAAATGAAAAATATTATAGGGCAAGGATGACCATCGTAGGTCACTGGCAGTTAGGGGACAGTGCAGAGGACAGAGATTTCTTCCTGATGAGACAGAGTCACACTGGGCCGGAGAGGAAAGCTCTTCCCAAAGAAGGGTTTGTCCCAGCCCGTGTCTGAAAAAGCCCATCCCAGGCAGACGAAGTCCCATTGTCAACCCCCGATTCCTATTACTGATGCCCACGGCAATTTTTTCAATTCCCCACAACTAGCAAGCATTAAAAAGTCACTGCTAGCCATTTTCCTGGACTTTCTCCATTCCCCACGCCCTTGGTTGCATGTGAAATGACACCCAGACTCACCTGTGCTTTCTTATTTCAGATGAAGGGAGAAGCGGGAAGCCAGCGACGTGATGAGCAGCCAGAGCAGGTAAATCCCACCTGTCCGACTGGTGCAGGTGCAGCCAGTGACTCTCTCCACACGGTGCTTTCCGCATGCCTGACGTCTCTCCCAAGGTTTAGGGGTAACTGATACACGGGCGAAAAGCCCATTTTAGTGGCTGAGCCGAGAGCATTTACGAACAAAGCCCTTCCCCGGCCCAAGGGAGCAGCCGGCTGATAGCTCCCCTGCCGTTGCCTCTCTACCCTCCAAGTGCCCAGGCCTTAGGCCTTCGGAACCACCCCTCTCTAGAACTGCTCTGTGGACCCGAAAGGCCCACCAGGGCCCGGACCCTGGGGCTGGGAACCAGCTCTTGACCCCAGCTCCCTCCTGCACCACACGCTTCTGCCCTCCACAGAGATCTCTGTGCTCTTTACACACCCTTCACTCGGGCTGCTGGGGAGAGAAAACCCCAGGATCCCTGAAAAAATATCTAATCTTAAGTGTGAAATTGAGGTGTTTGTTTTTTTTTAATCCTCACCTAGAGACATTTTTGCCGTTGCTGTTAGAGAGAGAGGAAAAGAGAGAAAGAAATATCGATGTGAGAGAGAAGCATGAATTAATTGCTTCCCATACGTGCTCAGACCAGGGATGGAAGCTGCAACCTGGGTACATGCCTGACCGGGAATCAAACCCACAACCTTTTGGTTACAGGATGATGCTCTGAACAACTGAGCCATACTGGCCAGGGCATGAAAATGAGGTTTATAACTTGATTCATCTTGATTTGATTAAACTCAAATGAGCCCTTATTGGGTAGCTCAGTTAGTTAGAGAGTTGTCCTGATACACCAGGGTTGAGCGTTTGATCCCTGGTCAGGGCATATACAAGAGTCAACCAATGAATGCATAGAGAAGTGGAACAATAAATCAATATTCCTCTTTCTTTCAAAAGTCAATCAATAAAAACAATGTAAAAACTTCAAGTGAAAAATCCCTAGCAAGTTTGGGAAATTCATGGAAAGGGTCCTCTGAATTCCAGAAAAGGAATAACTGCAAAGCCCAAGGTGACCGGTCTGACAAGCTTGGGGGTGAGCTTGGAATGGCCTGTGCAACAGAACAGGTTCCTCTGGTCCTGCGGGTCCAGCCCTGGAGGAGGGAGAGGCGGCCGAGAGGGAAAGGAAAGCGCATCGCGGGGGCTCAAGCCCTTGCTGAGCACAAGCCTTTCAACAGCTTCTCACCAGCTGCGGAGAATGACCTGTTCCTCTTCGGTCTTTTGATCAGAGGTGGGGTGGATCAGCTGAGAAGAAATGATTCCATGCAGACTCAGGTGGCTCGGAATGAGTCCATCAAAACAGTCTGTTCCCTCAGATCTCAAAAGTCTGTACTGAAACACGGTGTCCTATTCGGTCCCTTCGGATGTGGCCCAGTTACTAAGTGCAGGTGCGCCACAGGCACACAGGGCCTGGAGCCTCCAGTCCTCTCCCATGAGAGAGTGTGAGCGGACTCCATCCGACTTCGGAAACATGGGACGTAAGAGAGGTTTGTGATTCCTGTCAGTGGCGCAGCAGGGATCGGTGACTCACCTGGCAGCCAGTGTTTTCCCTCTCCAGGTCTGGGACCATCAGGCTTGCAATAATCTCTGCTGTAGGCTCTGGGGGGGCCTCTCAGCAGCTGCCAGTGACCGCCAGGGGTCCGCACTTTGCCCCTGGAACTGCTTATCATCCTGCCCAGCTGGCAACCTTGGCTGGTCTTGCTGGAAGGCAGAGGAATTATTAAGAGTCAGAACATACGTTCATTTACTTTTTCTTCAGGGGCGAGCAGGTGATGGGAATGGGGAAATAGACCCGGCTCGCTCGGCTTTGCAATGAATGGGCTGGTGAGCTTCTAAAAACCCAGAGGCTCAGACTCCACCCGAGACTCTTATGTAATTGGATTGGGGAAAGGCCTGAATATCTGAATCTTTAAAAAGCTCCCAGGTGATGCTGATGTGTACATAATGGGCATCTCTGTTGAACAAAAGGACTGGTGACAAAATCCCACAGCTGCTGGAAGGCTCGCCCGGCCTTCTCTAGGTGACAGAATCGCCTGACAGTCTCTCTGCAGTCAGGTTGGTCCACTCCCTTGGCCGATCTCGAGCTCTTCCACCATAAACACACCTGTAAACCTCCACAGAGCTCTTGATAAACTGCCCACAGGAACTGGGGAAAGGTTGGCAGATGCGCGGTGCTGGTGCTGTTGAACCCTGGCCCCACATCTCTCCCGTCAGCCTCCACGGAGAGGCGTGCGCTGTGTGGGACAGCTGGGAACTGACATTTCCCTCCTACCCTCCCAGGAGGGACACATCTGGGGCTCCATGCGGAGGACGGCTTTCATCCTGGGCTCTGGCCTTCTCCTACTTGTGGCCTTCTGGAACTCAGTCACGTGGTGAGTCTGTGGGGGCAGCTTGAACTCAGGACCTGAGGGCAGTAGGGTGGCGGTCTGGGGTCAGAGCGCCCACCAGCCTTTATCCAGAAACCTGAGCGGTGTTTTTCCTTCCAAGGCATCTTCAGAGATTTTGGGGTGCTTCTGGCTACTTCTGGCAAGCTCAGTGGGAGAGGCTGCTGTTCGCATTTGAAGGGAAGGAGTGGATCCTCTACATACTAAGTGAGCCTTCTCGACCCCCAGCCCTGAGGGGTGGAGTACGTGACTATAGTTTCCTTCCCGTTCTGTTTTGTTCTCTGCTTTGGGACGTATCAGTGCACTCTTCCAAGTAATAAGGACTTAAAGTTGAGGACAGTGGTAAGCCCCGAGAGTGCTAAGCTTGTGGGCAACCTGGAATGGATGTCTAAGGATATCCAACAAAAGAAGTGGAGAAATGGAGATCTCCCTCCCCCAAAAACTAGAAAAATGAAAAGAAGAAATAGTTCGTGTGAACATGAAGACATGTTTAGAGCAATAAGCCTGCTTTCAGGTGTCAGACAAGTACAGACAGCTTGTCTGGACAGACAGCTCCATGGCATGTGAGGCTGTGTCCTGGGTGACATGTGGCTCTGGGAGGCCGGACAGCAAGTGGCCACTCACATATTCACTGACAGAGCAGATGGCCCGAAACAAGCCTGAGAAAATGTAGTGGGAAAGCCACTGCAACTGTTCATAACCACATAATCTACAAGAGTGAGTGACCTTATTCACTCAAATAACAGTTATTAGTGTTACTCTGTGCTAAGTTTGTATGGAAGGCATAGGGATATTTAAGATAAAATGTTTGTCTGCCCCACAAAAGAACTGTGTCATGGTCTGGGGGGGGATTTAAAAACAGTGTCAGTTGTCACAAAGCATAAGAACAAATAGAACATCCCCTGTTTTCAGCTGGAAGGACAATCTGAAAAGGGGCTGAACATTAAGTATGACTGGTGCAGAGGAATCGTCAGTGGTCATCGAAAAGAACGGTTCAGGCTGTAAATGTATAAGGGGAAATGTGGGAGAGCATCTTACATGTTTCTGTTACGATGATGAGAATACTTATTACCTCGGCAAGAAGCAAATATCAGACAAAAACTATTTGCCATGGGAAATGTTGGCGTTGAAAGAAAGTTCAAGGTTGTCGCTTGTGGCTTTCAGTCTGTATTCCCCAGGAAGACCTTGGATTTCCCAGCAGGCAGCCACCCTCACAGGTGGCGCACGAGGCAATCACCAACCCAACATTTGTCCAAAATAAGTTTGTAAATATATGCTCAGTGTTAAATAAAAGTCAGACAAATCATATAACCATGAAGGTGAAAAATCACCCATTCTCCTATACCCAAGAAATAACCACTCTTAAATACATTAATCTCATATATTCGATACATGGTTGAACTTATGACAGCACCTTTTTCATTTTTATTTTTTGGAAGATTTTGTTTATTTTCAGAGATAGGGGAAGGGAGGGAGGAGGCGAGGGAGAGAAACATCCGCGTGAGAAACATTGATCACCTGCACCCCAACCAGGGACTGAAATCGCAACCCAGGCATGTGCCCTGACCAGGAACAGAACCGGCGAACCTGCACTTTGTGGGAAGATGCCCACCAACGGAGCCACACCAGTCAGGGCAAGACACCACATTTTTTAAAGCATTTTTTCCCCTTTCATTAGATAGACTGTGGACATCTTTCTGTGTCAATTGATATAAATTTACTTAATATTTCAAGCTGCCCATTCCATTCTAATGTAGTCCATTTCCTACTAATGGACATTTTGGCTGTTCAAATGTTCTGTGATCATAGTAAATGATGTGTTATTAATTATGCTGGAGGGATGGAGGTCATTCAAAACTGTCCTGGGCGAATGGAGAGGCATGGCCATCCTGTTCTCATGTGTTCTGAGAAAACAAAGTTCCAAGGTTGAGCCCGGAAAAGGCTTAGTCTAGAGCAAGGGCAAGCGGTGTCTGCTGCGGACGGCTCATGGCCGTGAACACTCTAGTCTGGACCCACTGTCCAGGAGAGTGCGATATGAAGGCCATCTGGCCCAGAAGCCTGCGGGACATCCAGACGCCTGAGGTCGCACTGCTCCGTTAGTAGGGTAACAGGGATCAGGCCCCCGGTGGACTCCGAGTCCAGTGCTCATTCTGAACCATACTGTACTTCCTTTGCTTCTCCCTTCCTTGGAAATTCAAAGGGTTCAAGGGGGACAGACTCCCAAATGCCAACCTATATTGATTTATATTTTAGAGCAGCTACTTTTTTTGTCTTTAACCACCTGGAAGGTTGTTGTTCCTGTATTATGACTAAGAAAATAAGTAAAGACACTCCTTAAATAGTGACCTGTTCAAGTTTCCCTCAGCTAGTTTGTCACCCCGGACTACAGGTAGGTCCCCTGGCCTTGAGCACCGAGACTTTTGTGGCCAGGGACTGTCTACAAGGCCGCCCGGGTCACTGTCAAGCATGAGGTCAGTTAACACCTATGTGGTGAGCACCTGAAGTCACCTAACCACCCATCCCCTCTGCTCCCCCCCCCCCCCCCCCCCCGCCAGGTATCACCCACGTGCCCCTTGTGTTCTTCTGGGGCCTCAATGGGCTTCTGCTGGTGGTCGACACAACCGGGAAACCCAGCTTCATCTCCCGCTACCGGATTCAGCCCGGCACGAATGAGCCGGTAAGAGCTCCTCCTGGCCGGGGCCCAGAAGGCAGGTGCTGAAGCCACATGCTCAAAATTCTCACCGCTGGCCCAGGAGAGGCCATGGCCAGGGTGAGCCGAGTTAGGGTGCACAAGGCTCCCCCACGGTAGCAGGTCAGACAGAGGAGATGGTTTGGCCCAAATCTCAGAGCCAGCCACTGAGACTATTGTTCTGGTCGTCTGATGACCCATGCTGTCCCTGCAGGCAGCTCCACCCTCAGCTACAGGAGCAGGGAAAGCTATGGCAGGTGCTGAAACCACGGAGAACAGCCGTCGTGAGTGGCCGACCCCATTATTATAGATGGGCAGTGTGGATTCTGAATGTGTAGGTGGTGGTTGTTTTTCAAGCAGGTCCTCTTTCCCAATTATTCGGTTCAATCAGCAGAGTTTAGTTTACCCATGATGAGCAAGGCCCAGCCCCTTTATACAAGGAACCGGCCCAGGCGGGGAGAGAAGGGCGGCACACACGTCTCCTTATACAGCACCCACAGGTTATCTGCTCCGAGCTCTGACAACAGCCAGGAGCCTTTTCTTTTTTTAAAGATTTTATTTATTTTAGAGAGAAGGAAGGGAGGGAGAAAGAGATGGGGAGAAACATCAATGTGTGGTTGCCTCTCCTGCACCTCCTACTGGGGACCTGGCCTGCAACCCAGACATGTGCCCTGACTGGGAATCAAACTGGTGACTCTTTTGTTTGCAGTCTGGCGCTCAATTTACCGAGCCACACCAGCCAGGGCTTAGGACCTTACCCAACAAGGAAGCAGCTGAGTCTTCAACCCACGTTCTTTGCCCGGCTCCACCCAAATCACGCCCTGGCCTCTTTCCCAGAGGAGATGATCATCTCTTAATGATCTGCCCAGGTGCCTGGGTGGATCACCTCAGCTTGCGGGGCACTCTCCCCCAGCCCAGCACTCCAGAAAGTGGAGTGGGTGGGAAAGAGTGTCCTTGAGCCAGGCTTTCAGAAAGCTCCGTCTTGAACCAGAGCTGTTGGCCTGGCTCACTGTCCCCTTGACTTAGGACAAGAGCTGCCGGCCAGCCAGAGGGCTTCCTCCAGGCCCAGCTTGTCAGGATAGATGGGAGCCTAAGTGCCCAAGACAATGCTCGGCCACTGAGAGCCTTCACCTGTCAGACCGTGGGGGTCTCCTTATCAGGCACTGTTGACTAGATGCTCACATCTTCCAGGCCAAGCACCGTAACAACAACCTTCATGGTTCAAATGAGAAAACGGAGGCTTTGAGACGCAACATGGGCAGAACCATGATCCACACGCAAGCTTTCAGACGCCAAGGCTCATGCCGTTAGCCACGAGGCCACCTCAGCTCTCAGGACTATCACCTAACACGGCGACACTTCCCAGCACAATGACTGCACAGCCACACAGGGAAGGTGTGACCTTTTGCAGGGGCTGAAGTTCAGAAAGGACCAGGGACTAGCTCAGGGTCAGACTGTCAGCAGGAAACACACCAGGGGTCGTCTCACCTGACTCCAGGTGAGTCCTACCTGGTGTGCCTCTCCAGGTAGACACAACTAAGAAGGAAGCCCCGGAGGCCAGTCAGCTTTTGGCCGATGCGGAAGGGCCTGACCCCTTCCCTAAGACATCAGAAACAGATCCTCGCATGGGACCTGAGCGCTGCAGGCATTCACAGGATCCGTCCCTGGTCTGTTTACTCTCCTGGACAGCTAGTTCCCACCTCTGCTCTTTCCTCCAATCTCCCACACGCCCCCTGGAGCAAAATGGCCTTGCGTCCTCTTCCCTAAGTAAAGTGGAGCGAACAGAGGAGAATTTCCAGACTTCCACCGCATGCTCTGCCTTCAACAGGCGAGCTCTCCTTGTTCTAGCTGCAGCCGGCCCTCCACGAGCGGCCCGCCACAGCCCTGCACCTCTTGCGTACTCCAGGAAATTGTTCTGGCCATTCTCGCTTCTCTTTCAATGCATCCTTTTTTCCTTCCTCTTCTAGATTATTCCTCTCTGGATTGTGAAAACACCTTAAAACCAAACAAAGACCCTTGACTTCATCTCCTGTGCTCACTGCTGCTTGTATTTTTGCTCCTCTTCGCGGCAAAGCTCTTTGTCTACAGCTTTCGATTTCTCTGTCCACCCTTTCTCCAAACATTGTGTGATTATGAACGACTGTAAACACATACACGAAAGTTGGAAAGGTAGTGTGGTGATCACTTTTAAGCATCATCTAGATCCACTAATTTTAAACATTTTACATTACCAATATGTAAAAATATAAACATCTATGCCTCTGTCATGTTTTGCTCAAGCATTTGAAAGTTCCAGACACCATAAAATTTCACCCTGAACCCTTCAGCCTGCATCTCCTAAAATAAGCCCAAACTGGAGAAAGAGGAAGGCTTCAGGTCTGAGGACCACCTTGAACCCAGGTTCACCTCAGCAGAAACGCCTACAGCTCATAGAGGGAACTGGGGGAGAAGTCCCTCCTGACCAGTTCGTCAGACCCCAGGAAGTGACCAGTGATTATGGGGCTATTCCCAGGGCCCCTGGTGCTCTGCTGAAGGGAGCGGTCAGGGGATCACTGATTCTCGGGGAAGTACTAGCTGTGTTGCAGCCGTGTGGGGCCAGCTTTCTACAGTGACCCTAGAGAGAATGCTCAGGCAGGTCCCCATTTAACAGCCACACGGTCAAAACCAGGAAGACCAGGTCACAGGAATTTAGGAGGCCAGATGGGCAGCTACCTGGCTCACCTCCTTCTGCGCACCAGGCCCCATCCAGTGAGGCTGGGCCAAAGCAGGAGGCAGATGACCTTGATCTCTGCGTCTGATTATGGTCAAGGTTCTCCAGATGAGGAAGGGTGAAAGGGCTGAATAAGAATATCAAGCTGAGAGTTGCCAGTCTTCTCCAAGTACCCTGGAGGCCCCCAAGGGCTTGGCCAGAAAAACGGGGACGACAGTGGTGATAGTTGCAGAACCAGGAAGGAGACGGCAGGAGCAGGCAGAGACTGAAGGCGGCTGAGAGAGGCGTTTCCCAAGGCAGGGCCGTTTGCACCCCGGGGCTGGGCAGTAGTCAGGGGCTGCCGGCAGACATCCCTCCTACCGTCCCCTCTGAATGAGGGCTTCCTGTGAGCAGGTCACAGTGGAGCCTAGTTTCCGGAAGGAAAAGACCTACTTCTCACGTCCTCGCCCATCTCCTTCCTCCCTTCCCTCCGCAGGTGGACCCTGTGAAACTCCGCCAGTCTATCCGCACAGTTCTGATGAACCAGTTCCTGATCTCCCTCCCCGTCATGGTCCTCCTCTACCCCATCTTAAAGCTGTGGAGAGACCCTTGCCGCCGAGAGCTGCCCACCTTCCACTGGTTCCTCCTGGAGCTGGTAGTCTTCACTCTGATCGAGGAGATCATGTTCTACTACTCACACCGGTGAGCAGGGGCCACCCGAACACAGCTGGATCCACTCTGGATCCACATGCTGTCCCTCACGAGGAACCCGAGGTCTCAGAATTGCAGGCCAGCGCCACCTGGCCTCAGAAGCGTCCCACAAAGTAGCCAACAGGGAGACGACTCCGTTCTACTCCTGACAGCTTGAGGCAACCGACAGAACATCCAGAAAAGAGCGAGCCTTCTCCATTCACGGGGGTAGCAGGGCTTTTCCCATTCATTTACAGCTAATACAACCGAGGTGGAGAGGCAAAGCAGCCCACCCCCAAATTACGCAGAGAGGCAGGGTAGAACTCAAACACTCAGACGCAGGGCTGCGTGTTTCCAACCTTGCTCCATAAACGGAACCCCTGGTTCCTGCCTTTGGTTTCTCCTGGTCGGGGGGTGAGGGCAGGGAGATGGCGGACTGTGAACTATTAACTGTTTCCCAGGCTCCTTCACCACCCAAAACTGTACAAGAAAATCCACAAGAAACACCACGAGTGGACAGCTCCCATAGGCGTGATCTCCCTCTACGCCCACCCGATTGAGCACCTGGTGAGTGGAGCTCCGCTGTCCATGGAGGCAGAGGGCGCAGGCCCCGCCCCTTCCCTGAGGTGGTCTGCAGAGAACCGCCCCCGGGGCCGCCGCCTCCTCCTCCCCACTGATGGGCTGTCACTGACGCCCTCCACCCTGCGGCAGGCCATCCTAGACGCCCAACATGTTATCTCATTTCATCTTCCCAAAAATGCCTTTAATCCTCATTTTGCTGATGAGGAAGCTGAGGCTCAAACCATGAATAACTTGTCCCAAGTTAGAAAGGTGAACGATTCCAGCAAATCCGGGCCCTGAAACTCTTTTCGGCTTCATCAGACCTGACTCAAGAAGTCTTCCTGGTAGCAGCCCTGGGAAGAGGGGGCCCACCGCTGGGTCCCCTGCACCTCCCTGGGGCCCACCTTCCAACAGCCCTTTCCTTCAGGTCTCGAACATGCTGCCGGCGGTGGCGGGCCCCCTAGTAATGGGTTCCCACTTGTCCTCCATCGTCGTGTGGTCTTCCTTGGCCCTCGTCATCACCACCATCTCCCACTGTGGCTACCACCTGCCCTTCCTGCCTTCGCCTGAATTCCATGACTACCACCATCTCAAGTAAGGCCCCCTTTCCACCGTGGGCCCCAGGCAGTAACGTCCGCCGTACCCCTGGAGCTTCCGTTAGCAGACCCTGGTGTCTCAGTTTCAGTGTGGGTGCTAGTGCAGGGGGAGGTCTGGAGGCGGGGAGCAGTGGCCACGCTGGATCCCAGGACACCTTGCAGAGGGACACCTGGACCCTCTGAGTATCCAGTGTAAGCTCCGGGTATTGTCAGAAAAATGTATACATACATAAGAATCCACCCTGGCCAGTGTGGCTGGTTTGGTTGGAGCACTGTCCCTTAGACCAGAAGTTTGCGGGTTCCATTCCTGGTCAGGGCACACACCCAAGATTGTGGGTTCAATCCCCACTCGGGGTGCGTACAAGAAGGCAACCGATAGGTGTTTCTCTTTCACATTGGTGCCTTCTCTCTCTCTCTCCCCCACCCTTCCTCTCTCTCTAAAAGCCATGAAAAAATGTCCTCAGGTGAGGGTTAAATAAAAAATCCTGCGTGCCCTTCACAGGGACTTGTACACCAAGATTCCAGACTTTAAGTGTGTCTGTGAACCTCCTGTACCAGAAGCGCCGGAGACGTGCTTCGCAAACACTGGGTCCTGGGATTCACTCTAATAGGCTAAATCCAAGTGTCTGGGGGCTGGGGAAGGAGCAGAGCCCAGAAACCTGCATTTTAATAGGTGTTCCAGGGGATTCTGACTCGAGTCGTCACTGAACCTCCTGGAACACACCGTGTTCTGCCACAGGCTGTCCTGTGTGCATCACAGCAAGAGAGCTTTCCGGAGGGAGACGGCAGATTTTCAGTCTGGAGGTCCCCTGGGAGCGTGGGCAGCACCTCCCTCGGTTATTCTGATGCAGGTGGTCGGCAAGGTGGGGGGTGGGAGAGCTTAGACATGTGGGAGAGGCTGGCGCAAAAATGAATTGTGGAGATCAGCACAGGGGCCCCAAGCACCCTCCTCTCTCCCCAGGTTCAACCAGTGCTACGGGGTGCTGGGCGTGCTGGACCACCTCCACGGGACTGACACCCTGTTTAAGCAGACCAAAGCCTACGAGAGACACATCCTCCTGCTAGGCCTCACTCCACTCTCCGAGAGCATCCCTGACTCGCCGAAGATGGAGTGAGAGGGCCCGGGGGCCATCTTGGCCGTCCCCTCTGCAGACGACCAAGGTGGCCTGAGGCCTCCAGATCACACCCAAGGACTTCCTCCTTCAGCCACACAGGCTCCAAGGACAGCACCACGAGGGCGGGGGGAGGGGCGGTCTCCAGGAAATGTAGGCGAAGGTTCCCCCGACTGCCCTGGTTATCCCTCAAGGGGGCCCAAAGTTCACTTAAGAGGGACCCGTCCTTGGGTCGGCAAGATGAAGAATGACAAAGGTAGCAGCCACATTGGAGGCAATGTGGCTCCAAAGAGCCCCTTCTGCTGCCAGGGGGAACCAGGACATAGTGCTTTACCCCTTTCCTGTCCCCAAAACTTCTGTCATACCCAACAGCGGCCAGGGTCGCAGCGGTCAAGACCCCGTCACCCATCCCCCACACACTCAGTGACAAAGCTCCCATGTCACCTCAGACGCACAGCCAACAAACATCGTCTGTCTGGGGAAAGGAGAACACCAATTGCGGAAGCTCCTCCCCAGATTACCATGGAGACGTCAGAGAAGTGCCGCCCAAACGCTGGTACCTTCAGCCATCCCTGGGAACCAAAGCCGAGTCCTGCGCACCTGCTAAACTGGGGGCCCTTAACCCTACCGAAGGAAGGGTCCAAGTTGCTGACCTTTGGGGTCACTTGAATGAGGCCCCTAATGAGTCTCAGAAGCAGGACCCAAGGCTAGAGCCCCCTTCCTCCAATGAGAAGGCAAGAAAAACACGGCTGAACAAAGGGCAAAACCCTCATCTCTTCCTGGAGTTTCAAAACCATTTATTCGGGATTTTAGCAAGGGGGACTTTTCAAACACAATCTTACCAGGAACCTTATCTAAAAACCACAGCTGCCTGAGTTGAAGCCGTCTCCTCACTTTTTGTCAGCAGCCACTGACACTGCTGGGGGCCCCGTGGCTCCCAAGAACCACCCGAAGACCACCCCAAAGGCCACCATTGTCACTAAATTCTTACACATACTTGGGTCTATTCCTGAACCTGCAGTTCTAGAACGCCCAGGTAACCACCCCCTGTAGCTCTGTGCAGTCCTCCACACCTGATATGGCCATCTCTAGGCAGAACCATCAGAAAGGACCCATCAGTCCTAGGACCCCAGAGAACCTGCCCAGTGGGCCGACTGGGTGCGTACCAGGCAGTGCTCCGTGGCCTTGCCCAGCCCCGCCCAGCACTGGTGCACCCGGCCCCTCCCTAGGACAAGCTACCTGTACCCTTAGCTTGAAGTACAACTCCAGTGCACGGATGCTGTAAGTTATCACAGCTGCCGGCCTGCACCCGTAACTGTTCCTACACGTAGCTCACCTTCAGTATACTTAACAAGGGTAAGAGATGAGGAACGTGGAGAAAGAGGAATGGGAACATTTTTTCTTCAAGGTCTTGAGAGTTTGAAGCCACAGCAGGGTGCCTAGGGGGACAAGAGGCTGTCCTCTCACCCCTGGGGCAGGCAAGTGGCTGGGCCGTCAGAGGGGCCAGGACCCACCCTCTTCTGCATCGAACAGAATGGCCCTTGAGGCTGGTAAAAAAATAAGGCTCAAGAGAAGGTTGAGGGGCAGAAAACATGGATGGGAGAGGAAGAAGCATGGAAAATAAACTGGTTTCCTTTAACTCCATCAGCTACTTCAGTTTTTTTCTGCAACACTTGCCCCAACGCTCACAGTCCTGTGGCTTCTGGGAGCTGCAGCAAAGCAGGCGCGACCAAGGCAATCGGTGGCCTTTCACCAGGTTCCCACCAGGTTGTGGAAACCATGGAAGGTATTCAAATACCCACCCACCTGACAGATGGTGGAATTCTTGGGAGAATCATTTCTGACGGGACACACAGGTGGCCAGGCCCGGGAAACAGTTGTCAGATGAGTCAGTCCATGTGGCCACACCTGATTTTTAGTTTTGTAATTACACATCTAGGCCAGACTGGCATTCACCGTGTTACTGCTGCCAGCGCCTGACCTCACAGGTTGGGGAAAAGCCAACAGCCCAGGGGCCAGCCACAATGGGGGTGCGAGATGGCATTCCTCCCCAGCATCCGTCCTCAGGGCTCCGTGGCTGACTCGGGTTCCCTATGGCCAGTGGTGAGCTTTCCACCCAGCAGTGGAGTCTATCCGGTGAGGGGCTGTGCCATCGCGTGATGCCAGCTCAGCAAACCCTGAAATGTGAGCTGGTAGACTGGCGTCTCTTTCTACAGCTTTGGCTGTAGCTCCCACATCTTCCGTAAGACACAAGGTGAACACGAATTCAAGACTGGCAGCGCTCATGACCTCTGGGGAATCCACTTGAACGCACACGCAGACTTGGAGGCTAAGGGGCCCTGCCTTGGGCACAGCTCTGCATAGCGTTCCTGTGCAGGCCAGGATTCTTCCCTCACACCCAACAGCTGCACCGTAGACAGGACACCGGCCACTATTGTGCCTTTTCAAGTTTTTATTTTTATACATTTTTTTGTATTAAAAAGAAAAGCATAATTACCACAAATTACAAAGGACTAAAGCAGACTAGAATAATGAATGAATCACTTCAGCCTGGAACGCAGATACTCTCAATAATATTAATGTTATAATACAAGCTCATTCAAGTATTTTACATTTTTTTGTCCTTTTAAATGTGACATCCAAGCACATGGTAAAGATAACGTACTATGAGCGTAAGGTGGAACCTTCTCCGCAAAGCCAGATGACAAGTTTTCCTCTCCAGTGAGAAATGGGCTGTTAAGTTCCAATCTTCTCTGCCACCAACACGGCTGAAGGAGAGGGTGGGGTTGGGGCAAATCCAGGGACCCACCGCACAGGAGATAGCTGGGAACCCCACTCAGGGGGGGCGCCCGTTGATCCAGACCGCTCTACCCAGGCTTTTGGCAAAACCCCACCCCGACCCTACTGAGCTGAGTCTCCTTTCCTGCCCCGCCTCCCCACTTTGAGGACCTTCTCAGGAGCTTCCTTTTTCTAAAATCACTAACCAGGAAAGGTAGGGGGGGAAGAAGCTACAAATGAACGAAACAGAACATTAACAACTTTGACGTGGGGGCTCAGCACTTCAATCCGAGCCCCAGGGGTCCAGGCTGGGGCAGACCCAGTGGCGCCTCTCCACTCGCAGCACAGATGCTCCCAGGTGCGGGAGAGGGTGACGGAGACCTGTCCCTTCTCAGGGCTGCCGCGCACAGGCCTTCTGGTGCCCGATGCCCACAGGCCGTGGGGCGGGGCCCAGCCCTGGGCGGGGGAACAGGAGGAGGAGGAGGATTTGGGTGAGCTGCTGCTCTGTGTCTCAGACCTTGGGTCCCCAGGAGAGGATGGTGGGTGTGAAGTGGCAAGCCCCAATGGCCCCTGCCACTCCTGGCATGCTTGTCACAGATACATCGGTCCTAAATTCAAGTGTCTTCAGAAAGTGAAGATGTAAACTACTCTTTGCAACATCAACTCCTAACATGTTACCCAAAAAAGGAAAAAAAAAAAGTCTCCTTTCTCCCCATCCTCAGCCTGTGTTGAGATGAAGTCCTCACCTCCTCACCTCGAAAGGGCTTTTTCTCTTTCTGGGGAGGGTCAGGAAGAAGATGGCAGCGCCCGGGCCTGGGAATCAACTCTCCGTCTGAACCACCTCCTCCCACACTCCCCAGGCTTCCTGGTGCCCCCAAACCCAGCAGAGGACAAACACTGAGGTTTCTGTGGTGCTGGATACAGTACAGGGCTGAGCGACCTGAAGGAAAGGGGGAATAAAGCGAAAGGAGGCGGGGGTGCAGGAGTCCAGTGTCTGGTACAATGTGGGGCAGGCACCAGACTGGGCAGGGAAAGGCCTCAGATCCCACTGTCACAGCAGAGACCAGACACTTGTCCTTGGCTTTTGAGAGAACTGTCCCTCAAGAACTGAGATGGGCTTCCCAACATACTAACCACTGGGAGGGCAGAGATGGGAAGGGGCAGGCCAAAAGCAGTGAGGTGCCCAAGACGAAGGCAGGCCCTTGCCAGTCTGGGATATACTGTCTCCTACTCCCAACCTTTGGGCCCAGCAGAGGGAGCAATTGAGAAAGAGGGCGAAGGAAGAGTCACCGATTGAGCGACACTCCCAGGGACTCCTCTGTGCTGCCTGGTCCCCATGGGAGGTGAGCGTGCCATCGCGCACGCACCGTAACACAGCCCAGTCGTGTGGGCCAGTCCTTTGTCACTCTCCCCAGCTTCAAATGCCGGCAGACTCTACCGTCCCATTGTCATTCGCAGCCCAATCCGTGGCCGGAGAAGTCAGGTATACTCTATGTCCACATATACCTTCCTGCCATGGGGCTTCTCCAACTGGCAGGGTTCTCCCCAGCCCCCAGCTCCTCTTCACCTCCTCAGTCCTCATTGCCAGGCAAGATCAAGTGGAGGGAGGGCAGAGATGGCTTGCAAAAGGGGGTGCAAGGCGGGGAAACCACACCAGACCCACAGGAGAACGGCATTTTCCTCCACCTTTTATGAGACAAAGCCTCCTTGAGGTCTCAAAGATCTTTCTGGGCAACACAAAAACAACACTTCCAAGCCTCGGCCTGCCAGGTGTCCATCTCTCCCCGAGATGGGGGGACGGTCAAGGTGAGGACAAGTGTGTCCCCGCTCCAGGCCAACGCCCTTCTCTAACAGTCTGAAGCAAACTTGGCCGTGGGGTGCAGGATGAAGAGTGTCACAGCAGGACAGGGCCTGGCATGAGGCAACAGCAAGCGGAGTGAGGACACGACGGTGGCAGCAGTGTAGACACAGGACGTCAGCTTCGAACGATGCAACAACAGCAGGGATGCGTGGGGCGCAGCTCTCACCCGAGCCACCCCAACTCTCTTGCCTCCAGGGCTGGAGGACTGTACATGCAAATCGGTCCGGAGAAAGATCCCAGCCAGTCCAGCCCAGGCACGTCCAGAGAAGGTGGGAGCTTGCGTCGACTCCACTGAGGAAAACAGGCATTTGGGTAGTTCAGATTCCCGCTCCACAATAAGGCAACTTTTAAAAGAAATATTATTTCCAATAACAAAACAAAAATAAAACAAAAAGAATTCCAAGGGTAGGAAATAAACATCACTTTCCGTGGATTAGGTGGGGGTTTTCTGATTTTTTTTTTTGGTCTTTTAAGGTCAGTTTTGTCTTTTTTTTTTTTCCTTCTTCCCCAAGGATGGAAAGGTCAGAGAAAAATAAAATAAATCATCTTTCAATAGTCTTTTCTGGTATGAGCAGCGTCTCTCTGGGCTGGAGAGTATGGGGCATGGGGAGAGAGGAGTGGGGGGATGCTGAAACCCCCCCTCCACTTTTACATCCTTTGGTTTCCTTCTCCCGGAAGATGGCAGAAGGGCATGGTGGGGACAGCAGGTAGAGAACACGCGATGGAAAGGCCCAGATGACACGGGGGCCAGTGCTCGTGGGGCCCAGGGGCGCTGCCAGAGCCTTCCGTGGGCCAGTGCTGGACAATGGTGCCCACGGGGCCTTCATGTGGGCTGCATAGTCGGCTTGAGAGGGAGCAGGAGGCTGTGGGGCAGGGACCAGGGTGGCGGCCTATCAGCCATGGGCAGGGCTAGAGTGAGTTTGGTAATCCAAATGAACTATCAATAATTTAAAACTTGATATATATATGTATATATATATGTATATATATATATATAAAATCTCCCCCGTCCCTCCCCCCTTAGAAGAAGCTAGGATGCGAAGAAGAGGCATGAAGAGGAGGGGGAGGGGACGTGTGGAGGCTCCTGCCCAGGGACCTCTGACAGCCCGAACGGTGGACACACCGCCACTCAGCACGAAGGCCCATGCTAACGAATCCAGGCCTGTTCCTTCTCTGTCCCCTCTCCTGGGACTGGGCATCCCCATGGAGTCCTGCCCACTCCCATCCCCCCACAAAACCCCCCAGGGCTACAGGGTTTTTCACTTTCCCAAAGTCTGTGTGTCTGAGTGCTGGCTTGTCCATTTGGCATCTTCCCGGATGGGCTGGCCGGTGGGTGGTGTGGGGGGTTGGCTGACCACGGTGGCGGGCCTGCTGGAAGACTGGGAGGGGCACCGCTTCCTGCCCTCGCCACCGCCACCTCCTGCTGCCACTGGGTGTCGCTTGTGGTTGCCCTCTTCACCCATGGGGGGCTGTGATGGAGGAGGGAATCACAGATGATTAGGGGCACTGCCCACACCTGTCCTCCCCCACCTGGCAGGGCTGTCTGAGGAAACTCCTATTTCCCACCTGAAAATGTTACATAGCTAGGAAGAGGCTTAATCCTAAGAACAAATTACGAGTTTCACTGAGCATGTCCCCGAGCCAGGACCTCACATTCTGCTGCTTTATGCACTTGCTCGTGGGGTCTGCACCACCCTTGGAGGCAGACCCTGCTGATCAATACTGCAGATGAGGAAACTGAAGCACAGAAAAGTGACGTGCCCTGGGTCCCCATGGCTGGTAACTGGTGAGGACGAAGTGTGGACTGCACCCATGCGCTACTGAAGCCCAGGCTTTTATCTGCAGGAGTGTCTGTTCCCGTTATGGGAAGACATCACTGCTCAGGAGCAATACGAGGAACACGGTATGAAATAGGCTGCGGCAGCTCAGCTCACAAGGCCCAGAGGCTCCGGGGACTGCCTCGTCCCTCAAGACCCTAAAAAGGACACTGGTCGAGAAGTCAGACCATGATCCATCCAGTCGGGCTGCGCCACGGCTGCAGGTCTTGTAACTTTGAAGAGATCTCCCTCCCTTCCTGGGCACCAACGCTGAGTCCACTCTGTCCCACCCTAACTGGTCTTCCTATTCCAAAGGTTCTTGGCACATGCCCCCTCCAGCCCTCTGGGGAGAGAGTGCTGAAGGAAGGACAAAAACCTACTCATCTTTATACTGAGAGCTCTAGGAGGTTCGGCCATCATCTCACTGGGTGGCCGTGGGCTTGTTTATCTGCCAGTCAGGGGATGACAACCAGAAACCTTCCTACTTTATTTAACCTTTATAAACTGTTTTCCTTGAAAAACCCAGTAGCAATAACTCCAACCCACCACTGGGTGTCACCATTGAGTTACTGCTCCAAAATGACAGCAAAGCAGGGTGGAGGTAGAGAAAAAAACAACATAATTTATAAACTTCTGGGGTTAGAACTGGCTGGCCTCTTCCAGTAAGATAAAAAACATTTCACCCTGGATACCCACCCAGACCAACTAGGGCACAGCAGCAAGGCGGGCTGTGAGGTAAAAGGGAAAGAGCATTGTGACAGTTGAGCCATTTCTACTATGGGCAGGTGAGGGAGAAGCAAGCATGTAACCCCTCCGATGAGCCTTCACTGTCCGCTTCTTGTGCTCTATTTTAAAGAGGCAGAAACTAGACCCAAATCGGAACGGGCGGTGTCCCTGGGCTAGTGGTGCAGCTGGGGCCAAACCCCAGGTTTCCTGATCTCGGGTCCAGTTTTCTTTCTAGGACAACCAGGGTGAGAAAGAGGCTTTTACTCACATCCACTCGGAAGTCTTCAAGACGTCGGAATTTGCCGAGGTATTCTTGAAGTTTGGGGTCTATGTCCAAATTTTTGGCTTTGGAATATTTCAAGAAGGCCCAGAATTTCTCCAGCCCATAGAGTTGCCCTGTAGGGAAAGAGGAAAATCGAGGTAGGGAGAAGCTGAGACCGAAGGAGCGAGGTGCGATGTGACCAGGCAGAGCCAGGTCCAGCTGAGGGGGGAGGGGCAGAAGGCTCGACGGCCAGGGCTCACAGAGCGCCCACAGCTGGGGCTCTTACCGGCTTCATAGTCCTTCACCGTTTCCTCCTGAAAATCCTTGAATATGTCCAGCCGGAACTTCTTTTCTAGGCCATAACTGTAGTATCTAAAAAGGCACTCCAAACCGTATCTGCAGAACACAAAGCAGCGAGGCTCAGTTTCTTCATCTTAAACCGGGGGAACGAACCCACAGGACAGATGAACAGCAAGAGTCTCATGGCAGTGGGTTATCGAAGAAACGGTAAATGCTGTAGGAAAGCGAACATTTACAGCTGGTCTGGGGGCTCCAACATTCATGGGTGCAGCCTGCCGACGGCCGGCAAACTCTGGCCGCGTGAACGGCAGCCCCGGACCACAACATCTGTGTGCTCCAGCGCACGTGTGAACTGGCATTGGCTGCTCTCTGCTGCAAGAGCAGACCTGAGTGGCTGCAGCTACAATCACAAAGCAGAAAATATTCGTTGTCTGTCCCTTTACAGAACAAGCTTGCCAGTCCCTGGGATAAGCTCTCTGGAAAGCCATCTGCCCCTGCCCGTTAGTAGGTCTGTTCATGTCTATGATTCAGAAATATCACTTCCAGGAACACCTCAGGGAAATGGCCAAAAATGCAGATTTAGATTTTACAGATGTGCCAAAACTTTTCATAGAAGAATTATTATGCAAAATCTAAATGTCTAAGAATAGATGAGTGGCGAAACAAAACATGATAAATCTGTTCAATGGAATAATCAGCCATTAAAAATTACAACGTAAATATTCACTGATGATACTGACAAGTGCTTTGAGATATTATCAAGTGGAAAAGACATGTTTCAAAGCATCATGTGTAGAATTAACCCATTTTTGCAAACGGGTAAGTTTTATATCTGTGTATGCACACACAGTCGAGAAGGGCATATTATTTAAGTATATTAACACTGGTTATCTTTGGGAATTGGTACTTTTTAAGTGACCTTATTTTTTTCCCTAAGTTTTCAGGCAAAAACATGTAACTTCTGTAAAAAGCCCCCCAAAAAGTCAATTATTTTAACAATGTGGAGAAATGCTCATGTTTATAAATGATAAATAAAACACAAAATGTGTCTCATTCACAGAACAATCTAAAAAACCATGACATATGGGAGAGCTTTAATATTGGTTGTCTTTGGACTGCAGCTTCCTGAACATTTCTGTTCTTTTCAAATTGTTTAGAGAAACAATTTTACTTCAGCAAAAAAGAGAAAAATCTTTTGAGAGGTTTTTTCATCAGTCAAATACTGACAACAACCCAGACCCATCAATCAGTCGCCTCCACGTGCACCCTGACCGGGGATGGAACCTGCACATTTTGGTGCACAGACGACGCTCTGGTCAACTGAGGTCCCCAGCCTGGGCTGGCAAGACCTTTAAAATGTACAAGTAGAAAATCAAGAAGCAAAAGCACACGTAATAGAGGCCATCTTCTGTGTAAGTAAAAGGGGTGGGTAGGGAGACTACACAGGTGTATGTCTGTGCTTACACAGGCAAAGCATGTTTGGAAAGGACCACACAATTCTAACCGTACTGGGGAACTGGGGAACTGAACTGGACGGCGGGAGAAAGGGATGAAGAGACTTTTCACTATGTAATCTTTAAACTCTTTGAATCCTGAACCATGTAAATACATTACTCACTCAAAAACAATCCATTTTAAATAAACTACTTACACAAGCCACTTCCAGTTACAGCTCTGGAAGCAGCCCCCTCAGGGACCCCTAATCGCCTGCCAAGCACCAGCTGGAGCCCCTCCCCTCCAACCCACTCACCTGTAGCCTTCTTTGGCATCCTCCAGAGCCAGCTGCTTGAACTCCTCATACATCTTTTTGTTGAAGTGGTCCCGGAGGAAGAAGGACCAAAACCGGAAGAGAGTATTCATCTCCTGAGACTGGCCGATGCCCAAGCGTTTCCGCTCTGACGGGAAGAAAGAAGGACAGACATGTCAGGACCAGGCTGCCAGGGCTTCACAGGACAAACGGATCCTGGAGCTCAAGGACCTCGGTCCTTTCCCCAGCCCCTCCCAATCCCCGTGTTCATGGGAGATTTATCGAGCACTAACTACTCTGGGTCGGGCCCTGCTGCTGGGCCTGGGCCTCCCCAGAGGCGGGCGGCATGAGCTTCTGAACCAGGTCGCCTGGGTCTAGCTCTTCACCTCAGCCAGTACTGTGCTCAAGTGTAGTTAGAGCGAAGAAAAGCATAGACAACAAATAGTCGGTACATTCCAGCAAGTTATATTCTTCATTATTCATCACCAATAGTTATTTTAGGAGTCCTACAATATTAACAAACAAAAAGAGGAAACACTAAAAACCAGTACACAACGTGAAAGCACAAGACGCTAAAAAAAAGTCGATAAATTTGATACAAAAAAAAAAACCTTTGTGCTTTGAAGGACACTACTAACAAAGACAAGACAACCCACAGAATGGGAAACATTTTTTTGCAAATCGTGTATCTGGTAAGAAACTTTTATCTGGACCACATAAAGAACTCCTGTAAGTTACTAATAAAGACAAATAATCCAGTTATAAAAACAAGCAAAGGATCTGAATAGATCTTTTTCCAAAGAAGATACACATGTGGCCAACACAGGAAAATATGCTCAATGTTACTGGCTATCGGGAAACACAAGCTGAAGCCCTGGAGGTATCACCGCACACCTACCAGAACGGCCACAGTAAAGACAGACAATAACAAGTACTGGGCGGTGTGAAGAAACTGCTGCCAGTTTAAAAATAGTTTTTATTGATTTTTAGAGAGAGAGAGAGGAAGAAGCAGCAAAAAACTGAGAATCGCTACTCCACTTATTTATGCATTCTTTGGTTGATTCTTGAATGTGCCCTGACTGGGGATTGAACCTGCAACCCTGGTGCATCAGGTCCATGCTTTAACCAACCGAGCTACCCAGCCAGGGCTGGTGCTGCCACTTTTGAACACAACAATCTCACTGTTCCCCAGAAGATTAACAGTAGAGCAACCACACGCCCCAACCACTCCACTCCTCCACCAAAGACAAATGAAAACACATCCACTCAGAAACTTGCACGGGAATCTTCATAGCAACACTAGTCATAATAAGACAAAAAGTGGAAACTCAAATGCCCACCAATTATGGATAAACAAAATGTAGTACACATCCATAAAATGGAATGTTCCTCAGCAATGAAATTAATGAAAGTACCAATACATGCTACACCATAGATGAACCTTGAAAATATGCTAAGGGAAAAAAGCCAAATCACAAAGAACGACATATGATTTCATTACTATGAAAAGTCCAGAAAAGGCAAATCCACAGAGAAAGAGAATAGACTGGTGTTTGTATAAGCCTGGGAGGAGTTGGGGGCAAGGGAGAGTGTTCGGGAGTGAATGATAAGGGGCACAGGGCTTCTTTTCTGTAGTAGTGAAAATGCTCTAAATTGTTTCTGGTGATTACATTGTATGGTTTCAACATTTTATTTATTTTTAGAGAGAGGGGAAGGGAGGGAGAAAGAGAGGGAGAGAAACATCAGTGTGTGGTTGCCTCCTGTGCCCCCTACAGGGGACCTGGCTTACAACCCAGGAATGTGCCGTGACTGGGAATCGAACCAGCAACCCTTTGGTTCACAGGCTGGCACTCCGCATCATTGGCACATTGTACGGTTTCAACGGGTAAATTGCATGGTATGGAAATTGTATCTCAATAAAGCTGTTACCACACACACACACCTCCATGCAGAGGAAGAGGAAAGTAAGATGAAGAACCAAGCATTTAGCAGCCACACTTTGCTGAATGAAAGGGGTCAGGTGAGAGTAACTGCAAAGTGAGTACTGAGACTGGTTCTGAGCACTTTACAGCCAGCCTGACAGAGACCTACAGTTAAAAGGCACCGCATTTGTGATACAAGGAAACACGCGAGAGCACCTAGACAGGGTCTTCCTTAGACTATCGTCTAGGGCAGGGGTCAGCAAACTTTCTCCTGCAAAGGGCCAAAGAGTAAATATTTTAGGCACTGCAAGCCACATACGGGTTCCCTCCACAATCCCTTAAAACATGGAAAAACTGTCGTTAGCTCAAGGGCTACACAGAACCAGGCTGCTGGCCGGGTCTGGCCCACTCTGCAGCTGGGCAGCCCGCTCTAGAGAACGTGCGTGACACACACCGGTTGTGATGGACAGCGGACCATGCCACAGTGGACAATGGCTGAGTTGGTAGTCTGGCCAGAAAGAGGGAAACTGGATTTTTAAAAATTCCTCTCCTGAAGACAGTTTTTCACTGATTTTAGAGAGGAAGGGAGAGAGAGAGCATCGACTGACTGTCTCCTGTTCCTGTCCCAGGAACCAAACTCACAACTTTTTGGTTAGGAGATGATGCTCCAAGCAACTGCAGCACACCAACCAGGGCCAACTCTTGATACATATTTTTTAACTTTATTTTTAATTTCAGAGAGAGAAGGGAGGGGAAAGAGAGAGAGATAAACATTGATGTAAGTGAGAAACATCAATCAGTTGCCTCCCATGCACACCCCAACCGGGGACCAAACCTGCAACCCAGGCACATGGTCTGATTGGGAATAGAGAGAGCTTTAGTTTGCAGGATGATGCCCTGCAAAACTGAGCCACAGGGCAGGGTGGGTGGGTGGGTGGGGTGGGGTGTGTGTGTGTTTAAATATCAACGGGAGATCAAAGAACAGGAATGTTCTGAGCACCAGAACTTTCATCCTCCTGTACTCCAAAACTACCTGGTTTGAGCCTAACATCATTTCTTCTGGCTACAACTCTGTACCACTGTTCGGGGGTCAGAGGAAAGCCACCTACTCCACCAGCACTGACACTCCAGATCTGAGTAGTAGCCCCAGAGTCCGGGCCCAGCCCCTTCCCCCTGTGCTTCTTACCGTTAAGGCAGCGCCTACGATACTTGTGGTAGACGTGTTGCGTGAAGCCATTTTCCTTGAGAAGCTCATGGGAAGGATGCTGGAACTTGGGCAGCGACTGAGGGGTACAACCATAGCTGCCAACCATAGGTGTCCCCTCTGAAGGGCTGGAGCTACAGAGGCCACGAAAGAGACAGTGTCACCAGGTTCTCCAGAGCAACTGGCTATCAGGTTAGCAGGGGCCCCTCTGAGACTAGAGGTCTCCATCAGCCAAGATCCAGCCCCTTACAGGACGACAAACAAGGAGGCCCAGGTACTGTGCTAGGCCTCTGACTTGTATCCATGGGTCTGACTTGCTCTTTGCACCAAACTTCAGAGAGTTTTACAAAGGGGTCACTGAGGTTGACAGAAGGTGGAAGACTCATCTCAAGTCATGCAGGTGTTTAAACAACGCAATTTGCAGACAATCCCCAAACCTGAGCCCTTAACCACTGATTTATCTCAACATTTACCTTTCCTGAATGAGCAAGTACAGGTTAATCCATCTACATTTTTCTTAATATGCCTATTTTCAGTTCGTACCATCTTTGCAGGAAATAGTACATTGGTCAGCAGCTCCCAAACCTTGCTTTGGAACAGGGAACACCAGGGCTAGTTTACTAAAAATGAATAACGAGGAGTCTGGGTCCTTTCCGCAGTAGGACCCAGGAATGGGTTTTTGTTCAGCTACCTGGCTATCCCGAGGTAGGCAGTACATGTCCTCTTTTGAAACAGACCTGAAAATACTCTCTGAGAATCCGGTCCGACGCAGCTGTGACACCACTGCCTCAGAAAGAAACCCCCTCTCCAGGCCTTGGATGCAGCTTTCTAGACTAGTCCCCTTCCTCTGGGTTCAGACGAAGCTCCCATCGATCTCGCGGCGCTCCTCCCCGCCCCAGAGCCGGCCAGGTCTCCCTCCCCGCAGCCCCGCACCTGATAGAAGCAGTCCGGGGCCTGTGCTCTCGGGAATCCATCACCCACCCCACATGACTCTCCAAGGGTGGGTTGGAGCTGTGTCTTGTCTTCCTTTTCCGAGGCATCTGCAAAGGTCGGTCCAAGACTCGTTATTTATTATACTCACACAACTGCGAGGAGCGTCAAGCATTTCGTAGTAGATCCCTCACGTGTGTGTCCTCTCACAATCTACAACCCACTTTCCTACCTAGTCCCCCACAATGTCCACATCTAGGAGCTGATGTGCCTACTTTACACAGGAAGGAGTCGAAGCTTGGGAGTGAAGTGACTTGCCCAAGAGACCGTCTCATCACGGCGCTGTGAGGCTGCCACTCCCACACCCAGGCTGGCGCACCAGCCTAAGAACACAGGGCAGGTGGGGGATCCAGCACTCTCTTGGTTTACACCAGGCAAGGGAAAGAAGTGAAGCACTGAGATGTAGTGAAGCGGGCCCAAGACTCCTAGCAGCCCAGCAGGAGCGCCTCACCTTGGCATCTAGTGTCCGTCCTTCCTTCACCACTGGGTAAAACCGTGAAGTCTGGCTTGAGTCTTTGAGCTGTGGTGTCCGGGGAGTGCGAGGGGTCCTGGCGTTGCGGTAGTTTGGCGACTCTGGGACAGTGGTTGGTAGAGAGCGGGCAATAGCAGAGGGCTCAGGAGCACCAAACAACTTGTTGGCCAGGGCGTCGGTGGGAACTGCAGAGGCAGAGCGGGGTCAGCAAGCAGGGGCAGGCCCATGACTGATCTATCCTTGGAAAGCACCCCCCGTCAGAGGCCTCCAGACCCTTCAACCCAGGCCAACGTCCCCAGTGTCACCCTTCACCTTGCTGGAATCGGGGTGGCCCTGGAGGGACCTCCTGGTTGGGATCCACAGGCGGCTCAGGGGTTAGTGTGTCAAACTGCTCCCGGCTGATCATGTTGACTTTCTTGAAGTTCTCGACTTCTTGCTACAGAGAGCGCAAGGACGGGTGGGGAAAGATGTTAGTAAGAGGACTGCCCTAGCCTGTTTAGGAATCAAGACCTGCAGGAAGCCGGGGAGGGCAGCTCCCACATCCACATACGTGGAATTCTGGTCCCCAGGCTCTCGGTTACCCCATTGTCACTCCCCAACCCCAGTTACCTGCGCGCAAGTGTGTTAACCTTGGACGGCGAGAACTAACCCAGCCCTCTTTGTAACCAGACAGATCAGGACTCCAGCTCCGTGCAGACTCCCCCAAAATTTCTTTCTGCTACTCTCATCACCCCCACCAAATGCACCGCTACTTACTACACAGGCCCACCCAAGCCCCACCACCCCAGATATATCCCCCTTCCCCGTAGAAATCTACAACAGAGGTTTTGACTGTTTCCAAACAAGGTTTTTAAAATACCTATCTTTTCTCCATTTTCCAAACTCAAAGTAAGTCCCTCGAAAGGCTTTTAAACTTTTATATATACTTAAATACTTAAGAATAGAAATGACAATCTAATCCTTTCTATGCCCAAGGTCATGTAGCTCACTAGTCTTCTTCCCCATTTGTCATAGGCACCCCAGGCCCCACCCTCACAGCTGTGTCCGAAACTTACCTTGATCTGGGAGTACTCAGGCTCAAACTTCGCAGTCCACAGGTCCTGCTCGTAGTAGAAGAGCCCATCGTTAATGACCTTGGCCAGCTCAGCACTCATCTTGGCCCGGGAGGTGTGGTTGCCTGTGCGGTCCCCCCCTGGGTGCCGGCGCATGTAAGGTGGAGTCTGAGTGACAATGAGGATCTTGTTGACATCCCGGTCGTCAATCTCATAATCAGAGTCTTCATCAGACCAGGCGGTGAAGGTGTTCTTCCGTCCGTCCATCTGCTCCATCTCCTCGTCAAACAGGAAGTCCAGTTCCTCTTGCTCATCCTGATCCTTGGACACCAGCTGCTGAGACGGCAGCTGCTGAGGCAGAGAGGTCTGGTGGAGGAACCTGGGCTCCTCTGACTTCTAACGCGGGGACAAGCCAAGGGGAAAGAGAATCACCAGGGTGTCCTTACACCAGGTTCTGTAGCTGTCCTACGATGGAGGTCTCAGCCCCTCAACACTGGATCGTCACAACTGTGTCCTGATAATGTCAGTAAGTCACATGTGCCTTGGAGGCAGCTTCATGGGGAAAGGATGTCCCACAGGACTCCAGGTTTCTCTACAAACAGCTCATATCGCAGTCATTTATAAGCAATGAGATGCCAAGTTCCCTGCAGGTAGATACTGTGTTCTCATTCACCCTCAGAGCCTACGCAGCACCTCACCTGGGAGCAGGCATGAGGCAGTTCAACAGGCTGAATCATCCGTTTATCATCTACCATTTATCATCTACCCAGCACCTCCCCATAAAACTTCATGAGGCAAGGACCACTTCTGCCCTGCTCTTCTTCATATCCTCAGTACCTAGACTGGGACCTAGTGACAGACTGTCAACTATTTAATGAATGAGCAAATATCCACTGGTACCAGGCCCTGCATGAAGAACCCTAAAAGCAGAATAATAAACAGGACAAAGTCCTTGAACTTAAGGAATTCACAGTTGAGTGGGAGAAGCCAACCACCAGCCGGCCAAGTGCAGGGTGGTATGGTAAAGACTATAAATAGGACTTGTGCAAGTACACAGGGAGAGGGGTACTTCACCAACAGGGCAGGAGTGAGCAGAGTCAGGGAAGGCTGCCTGAAAAAACTGATTACAGTGACACAATGGAAAAGGGGAGTGCAGAATTCAAGAGACCCAAAGTCATCCAAGGTCATCTCTGAGACCTTCTCATAAGCCTCAGACCACAGAGGGTACAGGGTGGGGAAGGTGGATGGAGCAAGAGCCCGCTCCTAGAAAGGGGAGCATGACTTCAGCCTGAGAGCGAAACACTTCTCTAACAGCAAACTCAATCTGTGCTCTTCATATACTACTTCACTGTTTCTACAGCAGTCTAACCCCTCCTTCACCTTGAAGATGGGGAAACTGAGGCCTTGAGATCTTACACAAGTGCCCCAAAGTCACTGGCCACAAGAGACAGGAGACCCATGTTCTAGTCTACAGACTCCAACTGCTCATCCAGGCTGTGAATCTGCTTCCTCTCCCCCCTCTTCTGAGGGCCTGAGGGGCTTATTTAGGTGCAATGAAAACAAATGCAGGGAAAAGGCACTTCAAATGCAGCCCCAGGGAGTGAGATGGGGCAAAGAGAACAGCCAAGCATCAAGAAACCTGGAACACTGCTGCCAGAAGCTGCACGCTCTCCTCCCGTGAAAATCACCACTGACAGTGCAAACAGGCCACATCGACCTCCTGCAGTCACTGGTGACCTCAGCTCACACCACCACAACGAGCCACCGGCTTGCTGAGTGGCCCTTTGGAGCCGGGAGCTCTGTGGTATGCCCTCTAAGCACTCCAGCCTGGGGCCTATAACCCATGGCAAACAACAGGCCTCACCCACCTTGAGTCGCGCTGGGGAGGGCCGAGGCCTCTTCTTCACTTCAATCCAGTTCTCAGAATCCAGGTCAGGCAGGCTGGCAGACAGGCCCTTGGGTAGTGTCTTTAGGTTGCTGACCTCCTCTGTTTTGGTTGGCACTGGGGTGACTGCACGAGGAGAGCCAGGTGCCGACTCTGAAGGGTGGAAAAGTGAGGTCCTTACCCCTCCCATCCCTCCTCCTGGTGCCAGCCCTGCGAAGGCCTGCTGGCTGGAGGACGAAGGCAAGGGGGGGCTCCTGTATGCCGGCAGGGTACCTACCCGTCTCCTTCTGGTAGTGCTGGCGGGGCACAAACTCGGGGCAGTTGAGAAGCTGGGAGAAATCGGTCTGGGAATAGTCCACTATTGGGGGACCGGGAAGAGGCCATTTCTCTGGCTCCTCCCTCCTGCGAACTTTCTCATCAACAATCTCCACCACCTTGCTGTCTTTTAGGGCCTGCAGGGGAGAAGGAGGGAGAAGTGGAGGGAAGACTTAAACAGACTGAGATTTAGAAGCCGGTAGATGACCTCACGGGCTCAGGTGTAAGTCCAGTGCAGGCAGGAGTATTAGAACGCTGGCACCACCTTCCATAACTGGTAGACAGTGCGACATCCTACCTCTGACCCTTCCATCTACATCCAGTAACCTGCCCCAGAGAAACACCTGCACGAGGTGACCATATGTAAAATACACACAAAAGACCATTCATAGCAACATTGCCTGTAATAGGAAAAAACGTGAACACTTACCACCACATGGGCAATTTAAATAAGTTACGGCACATCCATTCAATGGAACACTACTCAGACATTAAAAAGTAGCCTCCCAGGTGCTGAGGTGGAAGGAGCCACGAAAGACAGGTCTAGGTCAGTGTATAAAATCCCACTGGTGTTTAAGTAAAAACATGAATACAAATTTTTCAAGGAATGACAGGTGAATTTTACAAGTGTCTGTCTCTAGGAAAAAGGCGAAGAGTAGAGAGGGGAAGCAGTTTTCTTTTAAATAAGATCTTTTAAAGAGACAATGAAAACACTTCAAAGCGTCACTGCGTCCTCTGCTGGTGAGGCTGGGAAGAGGCGCCCTCACACACCGCAGGTGTGAATGCAGAAGCCCCGTGGCCAGGAAGAGGATCAGGCGGCGGCGAGCAAAACCGCATCCGCACCTGCCCTTTGGTTCAGCTAATTCTTCTTCTGGAAATTTACACCAAAGACACACTGGCACAACCATGAAAAGATGTAAATCCAACTGTAAAAAGATGCTCCCAGATAGAGGAGCGTCTTTCCATTATATACTCCTATGCTCCCAGATACACTAAGTGAAAACATGAAACAAGTGGAGAAATGCACATGTCACATGGGACCGTTCATCTAAGAAAGAGGAAAGAGACAAGTTCAGAAGCACGTGCATACTTTCTAATGGAACGACTCAGAAAAGGTTACCAATGGGGAAGCCGAGGGAGGCAGAAATGAAAGAATTTCAAGTCAGACCTCTGTGAATATACTTTGTTGACTTGGAATCATGCAAATGTTTTACAGGAATATAAAACAACTTGAGAGCAAAATGAAACCAGCATCGAGTTAAACACATAACCATCCAAAAATTATTTTCGTAAGTTAAAAATACAGTCATTTGACTCTACAAGTAGAGGGGAGAAAGCCCAATTTTTAGCAGTGGCAGAGGTATTATGAAGGCACAGTATGACTCTGCAGTCCTGAATTTTAACGGAAAATAACAGTATAACCTCACGATGTACTAAAAACAACCACCCCAAACCTCTAGAAACAATGACCAATCAAGTAACAATTAGTACCCCTTTAACGCAAACATGTAGTATCTAAACATCATATGCCATTTCCCCAAAATAGAAGAACCAGAGTTCCCCCCCCCCAAAAAAAAACCAGCCAATTCCAGATCTCGAGCAGGAAATGTACAAGATGTACCAGCGCCCCACTGGCCAAATGCGGGACAATGTGATTGAGCATAACCAACCCAATGGATTGAAATAAACAAAATATACCGGAATCTGTAAATTGATAATGATAAAAATTTTAAAAACCCCAAAACAGCCCTGGCTGGTGCAGCTCAGTGGATTGAGCATGGGCTGTGGACCAAAGGGTCGATGGTTTGATTCCCAGTCAGGGCACATGCCTGGGTTGCAGGCTAGGTCCCCAGTGGGGACCAACCACACATTGATGTTTCTCTCCTCTTTTTCCCTCCCTTCCCCTCTCTCTAGAAGTAAACAAATAAAACACATTTTTTAGATTTTATTTACTTATCTTTAGAGGGGAAGGGAACGAGAGAAGGAGAGAAATATCAACGTATGGTTGCTTCTCATGCATCCCCTGCTGGGAACTGGCCTGCTACCCAGGCATGTACCCTGACTGGGAATCAAACAGCGATCCTCTGGTTCGAAGATCCGTGCTCAATCCACTGAACTACACCAGCCAGGGCTAAACAAATAAAATATTTTTTAATAACCCCCAAAACAAACAAAAGCCCAAACCTCACTGGTTACCTTTGAAGGTTATTGGGGATCAACTCATAATTCTGAAAATTGGTTAATAAAGGTAAAGATCAAGCATTCATCTATCCTTCCTGTACAAATTACATACCTCTTGGTAACTAAATAGTTGGTGAAGCAAAGATCCTCCTTAAAGAGGTATTTCAGCTAACAAATGAAGATGGATTGACAGAATTAGAGGATCGCCCTTTTCAACCTCCAGTGAAGTAACAGGCAATGGTCATCAACAGAAGCTCTATCACAAGGGGCAGAACCAAATTATCCATCAAGTACTCTCGACAAGGAGGGGGGAAAAAAACCCCAAACCTGAAATCTGACCAGGCCTTTAGATCACCAATTTATAAAAGATCTGGAGTGCAAGACATGTTAAATGACACCACTATGTCCTATAAGACATATAACCTAGTTTATTCAAATAATTACAAGAAAAAAAGGGGGGGGGGAACCTAAGATGACACATGGGTTTCATAAACTACTAAAAGAAAAAAAGATCTTTTAATCTAACCTGAGGACATTTTTTCATTGCTTTTAGAGAGGAGAAGGGAGAGGAAAAAACATCAGTGCGAGAGAGGAGCATCGACCGCCTGTCTGCCATATGCACCCTGGCTGGGGATTGACCCCACAAACCAGGTATGTGCCCTGACCAGGAACTGAACCTGCAACCCTTCGGTCACAAGACAATGCTCCAACCAACCGTGCCATACAGGCCTGGGCCTAAAAGACATTTGTCTTGACAACTGGAGTGAATTTGCAACTGACCGAATATTAGGTGATCTTAAAGAATTACTGGTACTTTTACATGGAATAATAATATTGTGGTTCTTTTTAAAAACAAGTCTTTATCCTTTAGAGACAGGTACTCATTACCTGATACTTTCCTCAAAGTAATCTGGGGGAGGAAACAGATCAGGGTGTTGATGGAATTAAGACTGGCCATGAGTTGCAATTACTGAGGCTGTGTGATGGGTTCATCACAACCACTGTCTGCTTTTGCAAACGTCAGAAAATTTCCACAATGACTGGGAGAGGGAGAGAGGGAGAAGAGAAAGGGGGAGAAAGAGAGAGAGAGAGAGAAAAGGTGGTAGGGAGACAGGCTGGCCAAGCCTTCGATCTTTAGCAGAGGTAATCGAGTGGGGGCCCCAACTCCTGCTTCGTAATTCAGGACCATTCTTTCCCCTGACTCCCAGCCCCAGGGAGGAAGACGTACCGCAAAGATGAGTGAAATGTCAGTGGTAAGGGCCTGCACTCGGTGGAAGGAAGCAATAAGAGTGATGGGAAGGAAACCGTCAGCATCCATTTTCCGTCGCAGGAAGAAGTCTCGCTGTAAATTGTCCACGCTGAAGTAGTATTCACTAGGGGGAGGGGAGAACAGGTGTAACTGCTGCTTCCTTTACAAATAGGTCTTCCCTGTTCTCTGTGCACCCCGGCTACTTCAGTGGCCTCTGACTTAACCCCTGAATCCCCAGTGTACACATTGGTTTTTAAGGACTGAAAGAAATGTTATCCACTTGTGGCTCCCTAACCTTGGGTGAAACCGTTCCCTCTGCCCTTCAGGCCCTCTGCGTGCCTGGCGAACTTCCTCTCTCTTCTGCTTCTAAAACACTATCACATTCTACCTGCCACGATGCCACAATCTATTTCCTGGTGTGGCTCCCTCACTGGACTGAGAGACAATAAACTGGAGTAGTTCGGAGCTGGGGTTTTGTAATCAGACAGAAGGGGATTCAACTATGTACCTTATGACTTACTAGTTGAGACAATGGGCAAGGAACTGGACCTGTTTACTCATCTATAAGATGGGTTAAAAGACAGAGCTCAGAGGAATTAAGTCAGCAAATGCAGGATTAAATAAATATGAGAATGCCTGTCAAGCACTTAAGAGTCACAGATAGTGAGGACTCAGTAAGCATTCACTAGTATTCTGGCAATGTAGCCATTACAAACAGAAGCACAGAAAGGAGCTGAGTCTAGACATTTGCTCTCCATTTTGTTAGGGGCAATTTATAATTTTCTTAAGGTAAATATGACATTACTTCTGTAATAAACAATCACTTTGTGAAACATTAGCTTAAAAGATGAAAAGTTATCTTTCCTAGCTCCAGCTGGGGCAGCAACTGAAGGGCCTGTGCAGCCCTACTTTGTCCAGCTGCCAAACGCAGGCAGCCCCCAGACCCCCACCCGCCCCTCCGTAGAGAAGGCTCCCACCCACTCACATCTGGCGCTTGATATAGTCTTTGAGCAGCTCCTGGTCCACACTGTAAAGCTCAGTGCTGCTGACATTGTCAAAGTAGTAGGTGATGTTGTTCATGTACTTGTGGGTTCGAGGCCCCTCTGTACCATCGAATTTTCGGTAGCTGAACTGGTAGTCAAAATGGGCTGCAGGGAGAATGAGCGCCGTGAGGGAGAGGCGCTCCCCGCCCACGGCCCCGCCGCACTCCCTGGGACATCCCGGAGCCCAAAGGGGCCTCACGTACTTCGAGCGCCACCCCGGCCGCGTCCCCGGCCACGACCGCGCCCCCGTCCACGGCCACGGAAGGAAGCCCGCGCCCCACCAGCCCCATCACTCTTCACGCTCGACGTCTCATCCTGGTCGTGCCAGGCAGGCTCCGGTTTGGTTTCTGGTTGCCAGGCTGGGGCAGGGGGAGCCACAGGCACAGGCACATAGGGGGCAGGCTCGGACCCTGTGAGGAGAGAGGCTCTGGGTCAGGCCCGAGGGGCCTCCACGCCCAGGCCCCCACAGCAGGCGGCACATACCTTTGATGTCCCCGCGGCTGGCAGGTGTGTGTCGTGGCTCTGGCGGGCGGACAGGGCGTGAGACCAGTTTCTCTCTGGACACCTCAGGCTTCATGTCTATTTGCAATGGGACCCACTTGTGTTTATTCCCTGGAGGACGGCACGGACACACGAGGAAGGCTTGAAGGAGGCCCTTCCCAGCCATCTCTACCCCAACCTTCCCCCCCGATTGGGGCTTCAGGCCTGAATCGCAGCCTGGTGACCTTGGGCAAATTCCTTTCCCACGCTGGACATTATTTTCATCCCTAAAATAAAGAGGTCATAGCCCTAGGTGGTGTGGCTCAATTGGCTGAAGCGTTGTCCCATAAACTGAAAGGCTGTGAGTTCTATTCCCAGTCAAGGCACACGCCTGGTTGCAGGTTCAGTCCTTCCCTGGTTGGGACATGTGAAAAAGGCAACTGATTGAAGCACGTCCTCAGGTGAGAATGAATGAATGAATGAATGAATGAATGAATGAATGAATAATAAAATAGGAGGACGTGGACCTCAGGGTGATGCCCACTGCTGCATGACTCATACCATCGATTTCCCCGTGGTCAGAGAACCCCATTCTGGAGCTAGACACGTGGCTGCCCAGAACCAAGACGGCACTCCCCAGGCTCCCCTCAGGCTCGTGCCAAGGGTCTGGCTGTGAGAGCTGATGAAGGCAGTCAATGCCGGGTAGAGTCCCTAAAAGGGAGCTATCCCCCCTTTCCCTTCCCGCTAGCTGGAATGAATGGATAAGAACGAGCTGTCTTACATGAGAGGCAGCACCACACCAAAGCAAGATACAAGGAATCGAAGAGTTGTTATTCTGGGCCTGGTCTGCTTACACTGAGCTACCAGGTGAGAGAAGTAAACTTCATCTTGTTTCAAACACTGTTACTCTGGATCTCTATTAGAGCAGGCAAACTTGTGCCCTAACCTTAGCTCCAGCCAGAGCACTGAGAACTCTTGTCTTTAAACGGAATCTTTCACAGGACAGCAACTCATCAAGACATGCAAACAATACTCTGAGGCAGGGCCTCACCTGTCTTGTGCACCGCCAGAGCCCCGCGCTCGGAACAGGCTTTTCTAAAAGCTCGTTTAGTGAGAGAAGAATCTGACAGACTGGTGGCGGAGGTGAAGACTGCTGGCCCAAGGGCCTGCGCCAGCCAACCTCCCAAGGATGTCTCAGGGACCCCCGAGAGTCCTCTGCAGCCCTCACATCCTGCCAACTCACAGTGCTGCCTGCCACCTTCTCCCAAGCCCTGCTCCAAGTCACTCACCTTTCTTCTTCTGAACCCCTCGCTGGCAGTCCTCATCCCCATTCTTCTCCTCCCCTGATTCATCCGATTTGGTTTTCGGGCTCTCCTTACTATCACTCCCCTCTCCTTTCTCCTGCTCCTTCATGTCCTTTTTGGGTGGCAGCTTACGGGCAGGCTGAGACTTGTAGGACTGTGGCTGCAGCAGGAAGTAAAGTGACAGGTGTGGTGAGTCTGAGAGTCCCTTGGGAAAGGACAGAAGGGAGCCCCTGTCACTAGAAAGACAAGGCAGAAGGTCACTGGAGCGTGTGAGAGCAGGATGGGCTGATGCGTCTAAAGGTCCTGTTTTCGCGCCCGAGACGCCTTCACTGGGAAGCGTGGTCCAACGGGCAGGAGGTGGGGAACAACCTCCAGGACAGAGGGACTGGGGCTTGCAAAAGTCAAGTGTTTACTCCCTGCAACAGGACCATGTCCAGGTAGTCTTGGGGGGAAGGAGAGGCTGGTCCGAGGCCTGTCCACACCTACCCTATCTGCCAACTGGAGGCTGGTGGCCACAACCAGGGAGGGACCTAGACCGTCAGCCTAGAACAAAAACACAGGGAAGGACAGGACTGACCAGGAGCCCCTCCTCTGCTAGGACTAAGTACAGCTACACAGCTTCCCCAAGACACGTGGTCTAGGGGCACCTGGCCAACGACCACTCTCCCGCTTCACTCACTGGCAATCCAAGTGCAGTGATGGAGAACACAGGTTCTGGAATAACACAATACGCATGACTTCCAAGTCCCAATGGGCCCTCGAGGGACAGTAATTAACCTCTCCCAACCTTAGTGGCTTCATCTGTAAACAGGGAATTATTAAAGGGCCTACCTTGGAGTCACTGTGAGGGTTTGATGAAATGATGAACAGACAGCACCTGGCAATCCCTGATACACAGCCAGGGCTCAAACAGTGACTTTTAGCTATTTCAGTGCTGCCCCTATTGTACTACCCATTCCTCTTAAGCTAAGACTTGAAGCTTTGAAGGCTTGAGAAGCCAGAAGTGTGTACATGTAGACAGAATTCCATCCTAGCCATCCCACCCCTCCAACTTACCTGCACACTCTTATGGGCTATCTCTCCAGGTGTGGGCCAGTTGATTGCATCTCCAAAGTCACCAACCTGCAAGGCACATTCTGTGAGGGCTCTGGCGCGACCCTGCCTGCGCCATTCATCCCCTCACCCCAAACACAGCTCCATCAAGAAATCAGAGGCCAAAAGCAGTCTGCCCACCATCAACGCCGGAGGCCCAGGAGTGGGCTCCCCTGCTCTTCAGAGAGAATCCAGAACTCCCTGGCAGCTCAGAAGCACTGGGCTAGAACAGGAAAGAAGCTACCACCTCCAGCAAGTCCTCCCATTGGGTTGCCTGCTCCCATTCCTTACCTTGCTGCCTTTGCGCTGTTTAGGAACTGCTGCCCTCACCACCTTGGCTGGAGCAGAAGGTTCTGAGGGAGCGAGAAGGGAGAGATGGTTACTGAGAACCCGTGGGACGGGGCCACCACCACTCCCGCTCCACCACGCGGCCTGCAGGCAGACAGGGCGGCAAGTTAAAGGACGTGCTCAAACGCCAATGCCAATTTTACCGGCCTTTCTTAAGAAACCATAGAAAGTAGGCTCATGGAAACCAGCCCCAAGCCCCGGAACTGCACGCTGAGGCGGGAGGGCTCCCGCAGCCCTACACCCTCTAGTAAAAAGGGGCCTGAGGCCTGGAGAGGGTAAATCCAGGGAGACTGAGTCCACGCCAGAGTTAGCCCTCAGGTTCCATGAAGGAAGGGTCTAAAAGACCCTCTCTGATTCTAACATTCTAGAAGACTGTGTATGAGCAGACCTGGGTAGAGCGATCACGGGGAAGGTGAGATACGAACTCTAACTGGGCAATCCAGAAACCCAGGAACCTCTCCCGAGCCCTCACACAGAGGGCCGGCGTGGTCCTCAATGACTTGTGGTCAACAGGAGTTAGTGACTCAGGGAAATTCTGTCTACCTTGCAAGTTTCCAAAAAAATAGTGAGAACCCCCCCATTTGACTCAATGGTTCTACCTTTAGCAATTTATCTAACGATACAAATTAGACCAGTGTTTAGAGTTACGTGCGAAGATGTCCATCAAAGTGCTGTCTGTAACTTCAGTACATTGAAAATAACTCACTGCATTTTTGGCAACTATAATGTGTGCCCACGTCTCTGTGTGCATTATGCGTGGGGCCACTATGGCCATGGCATGTAGTTACCACACCCGTGTGTGATGCGCGTTCCTGTTTTTCCTCAACAAGTTGGGTGGAAAAAGTGTGCATTATACACGACAAAACACAGTACGTGTCCGACAGTAGGGAACTGGCTCAAAGTTTAACGATGTTTACAGTCATGAAAAGATGATCTCTGCTGAGAGGAAGAGGTAAATAATAAAGGAGGAAAGTTACAATCCTACTTTTGTAAAACAAATAAAAATGGGGATATTCACATCTACATAGTGGCCACTCTGGAAGGACATATAATTAAGTAGTTATGGAGTTAAGTAGCACATTTATAGTGATTTAACTTTGTTTGGAATTCTCTAGCAGTTTCAAAAAAGACAGGTGTAAGCTTTGAAAAAGAAAACAGAGAGAGAGAGAGAATTAAGGAAGTGGCTGTAACACATCTGGTCCCCTCTACACCTACACTTGTTTTCTCAACATGGTCTCTCGCCGCCCCCCCCCCCGAGACCCGAGGGACTCTGCCCCCACTTTCTGAGCAGAGAGATTTGCACAGCTGGTCTCAAAAGGAACGTTCTACTCCTTGACCAGACCCACGTTCCCATAATGAGCAGAGAGAGTCCTGGCCTGACTCTCACTGTAAAGGCACTGCATTCTTGGCTTCCGCTCCAGAGCAGAGTCACTGGCCCCTCAAGACACCCTACTCGCCCAGTTCCACAGCTCGCCCCCCGCCCCAGCGCTGGGCAGCAGAGAACCAGAACTCTCTCTGTCCCTGCAGAGAGGGTGAAACCCTGAGGGCCAGAGAGCGGCTTACCCCATATTGATTTTCTCGCTAATCCCAGGTTGGCCCAGAGAAGCCTAACACCACCCAGTGCCCTGACGAGGCTGCGTCGAATGAGGACGCTGGCAGAGGCAGCCATTTCCTTACAGGGTCAGCCTCCTCGAGTCCACCTGCGCTCTGGTGGTGGCTGCTCCTGGACTGGTGCTCCTGGCCCCGCACTCCCTGAACGCTGCCAGGACAGACACAGGCCAGGGCCTCCAACAAGTTCATTGACAAGGTGGAAAAGGAAATCAGGTCTGGTTGATGAGTTATTCCTGAAGACTTTCTTGGAAAAGGCAAGGCAAAGTTTTGGAGGTCACTGTCTGCTTCTTCTAAAAAAAACTACCAAAATTGGAAGAGTCAGATCATCCCACCTGATATTTTGTTCATCAAGATCAAGAAAGGACATATGGTCAAGCCTAGAAGTTCAGTCTCCAGTTAAGGGGAGAGTGCTCCCACCACTGAAAGACCCCACTGATTCCCTCCGCCTCCACCAAACCCCAAGCCGACCAGGGAATGTGGCCAGTCTGGACACACGCAGAACATTCTTCAATTAGTCTTGCGTGAAGTTTGCTGAAAAAGCCCTACCCTTAGCTAATGACCATCTGTCCCAAGGACCCACAGTGGCCTGCTCTTGTTCTGCTCCCAACTAGGCTCTCAAGCTGCCCCTATCCCAAGGAAGAACCAAGTTTCCCAAGAGACAGAACAGTCCACTTAGGGAAACAGAACTACTTCTGTCTTGAAAAACTATTCCTAGATCTGTTCAAATCCTGTGGGACCCAGGGAAACCCAGGACGGCTCAGGAGCTGCTGTCAAGCGCGGCAGGAGGGTGGAAAAAAAAACTAGGCTTATTGACCTCAATCGCACATCCCTTTCAAAGTCCCTCCCAGCCTCCCACTTACCTTTACCAGGTGCGTGCGCACACACAAACACACACAATATCTATATATAACCTAGCATCTGAAACAACTCCCAATGAAAACCAAATCTTTGCACAGGCACTAGCCCCTTCCTCCTACCTCTGAATACTGAAACTTGCGCCAATCATCCCTGACCCAAGCTCAACTCAGAAAACACTCAGGTCACCACCCTGTATCTGCCTAAGAGCAGCTGTGAAACAGAACTGCAAAAAGGACCCCAGTTCTAATGCCCTCTGTTTGCAGACAGGGAAGGGGCTCCCCCAGGAGGAGCCAGGCCAGGAGCTGGAAGTCTCACCCCCTTGTCCAGTGCGCTGTCAGCTCACCAGAAATCCTGCGTCCACTGGTGGAAGAACGGGTCCAAAACCTGCCTAGTGCAACCTTGGGGTGCTTCCCTGGTGCTTCCTGGTAAACAGGGTTACTGATGGTAGGGAGATTTTCTCAGGTAGAGAGGAAGGGAGAAGTGGGGTGAAAGATGGCAGACAGAGGCCGTTCAGAGTGCCTCCTCCTTGCCTATGGCAAGTCTGGGGCTACTGGTGATGTGAAAAGAGAAACGGTGCCCTCTGTCCCACAGGCCCACAGTCAGCCGGGAGCCAGCATGGACTCTGGTTCCAGGGGCAGCACACCAGGAATCTCCATGAGCGGCGGGAGGGGCACAGACTTTCCAGGATCCCATATCCACGCAGCCAACTCACTGCTTCTACTTAGTATCATTGCATGGTGGGAATCAGGGAGCTAAACTAATGCAACTCATGCAGGATGGCAAGAAACAAGGGGTGGGTGGAGAGGTGGCCAGGCGGAGTTGAACTACTGAGTGAGGTGGTGAGGGCCGAGAGGGCTGTTTCCCAGTTAAGAGGGGGCTTGACCACTAACCTCTGAGACTCTCTGTCTCTCAACTTTCAAACGTGTGACGCCCCTTAATTTAAACGCTGACTAGGCAGGGAAAGCTTGTTCATGAGCACGCAGACTTTGTTACGTGATGCACTTAGGCCAGAGTCCTTGCACACTCGGCCCCTTGCAACTTCAGCTTCCTCACCTGTAAAGTGAAGTCCTAATGATCTCATAGGGCCACTGTGACAGTTAGGTGAACGGAGCAGAGTACAGGTGCCTAGCACATGGCAGGTGCTAAAAACAGTTGACTTTTTTTTTTCTCGTCACCCAAGGACATTATTTTTTCATTGCTTTTTAAGAGAGTAAGGAAGAAAGAAACAGTGATGTGAGAGAGAAGCATCGATTGGTTGCCTCCTGTATGTACCCCGACTGGGAATTGAACCCTCAATGTCTCAGTCACAGGACGATGCTCCTCACAGGACGACGCTCCAACCAACTGAGCCACACCGGCCAAGGCAATACCGTTGACCCTTAAACAAAGCAGGGGTTTGGGGCAGTAATCCCTGCACAGTAGAAAATCCACATATGGCTTGAGTTCAAAACATAGTCATCCCTTGGTATCCATTGGGGATTATTAGTTCCAGGACCCACCCCCAATAAAATCCATGACTGTTCAAGTTCCTTATATAACACAGCATAGACCGGCCCTGGCTGGTGTGGTTCAGTGGACTGAGTGCCGGACTGAGAATCAAAGGGTCGCTGGTTCCATTCCCAGTCAGGGCACATGCCTGGGTTGTGGGCCAGGTCCCCAGTAGGGGGTGCACGAGAAGCAACTACACACTGCTGTTTCACTACCTCTCTTTCTCTTACCTTCCCCTTTAAAATAAAAAATTTAAAAAAATAGCACAAATCAATAGAGAAGTTGACCTACATCTGCAGATTGAAACGGTACAGGTATTTATTGGGGGGGGGGGAGAAACCCATGCAGTTCAAACACATGTTGTTCAAGGGGCAACTGTAAATGCTAAATATTACAATTTAAATGCACAAAGAAGTGTAATATTTCCAAGTGATCCCTATCCTCATCAGTAAAGAAAACATAAATTAATCTCTCAACATGAAAAGAATCAAAGCACGTGGGAAAAAACTCATGGGGATCAGTTACCTCAATTTACTGGTTCAAATGACAAATGAGCCCCTCCCGAGCCCAGACCTCTGGACACTGACCTCCAGAAACAGGCTGGGCCCCAGGGCAGATTCCCCAGGAAAAAGGAAAGAGGGGGGGTTCACCCCAGGTCCCCAGGGGAACCTTGGCAGCAACCTCGGCCCTGCTGGAGAGGAAGGCAGAGCATATGGAGGCCCGGAGTGCCCTTTCAGTTAAAATGCAGTCACTCAATTTTCTCCTCAGCACGGAAGTGGGAGACAGGCTTCGACTAGTCTCTTGCAGCTCAGAAAGGGCCAAACCCATAAACACCTAGAACAAAGCCAGAGGGAAAGACAAAACATTTTCCATACTGTCTTGTTCCAGAAGGACCCCTAAAGCTGCCGACTTTTGAATGTGAAGTGAAAGCTACCCGCATGGGCCAGATCTGGAAAGTCCAAGGAGCAAGGCCTTGGTCAACCGAGGGGAAACCAGTGAAGGTCTTCAGGGGCAGAGGCACGTGGGTGAATCGAACCCATCAATCAGG